TCCTGTATTCCTGTCTTTCTTTCATAGTCTGCCTGAATTCATTATCAACTTTCTCCTTTTCAGATAATGCCACCAGCCCCTCTTTTGCAGAACATCATGAAGGGTCCCTTCAAGTTCCTGTGCCCTGTGCTGTAGTGACTGTGGTCTTCATCACCATTTTGATCATAGCACTCATTGCCTTATCAGGTGCGTCTATCCCTCATGAGTTCTTTCAAAGCCTCTTAGCTGTGAACATTCATGCCCAGATGAAATCAATGGGTTTTAGATTGGTCTAGTTCTCATAAATTCTTGTCAACTTAGGATCATCTCATATACCATACATGACTAATTTCTTAATCAATATTAAATATAATCCCATGGTCCTTGGATGATTAGTGCAATACTTTTATAAGTATTAAAAGTGCCTGTTATTTATACATCATTGTAGGAGAAAATTACATTTGTGAAGATGTTTATATGTAGAATAAAGGGGACTGATTTGGATTCTAAATGAACATATATTTATCTAGGAAACATGTGGGCTTCACACTTATTATCTAATCCGCTGATTATCAGCAAGTGGCTAGTCTTTTTTCTTTCATCTCAAAGGCCACAGAATGGTACTTGTAGGTAATTAAGACCATATCTAGAAGCTCCCAGAGAGTCAGAAGTGATATGGTATGTAATACATAGAGCTATGCCAAGATACATTTGTGTCTTTTACAAATATGAAATTTTATGGTTTTAGGTCTTTCTGTATTTCGAACTAGTTCTCTGAACACTACTCTTTCCCTCACCTCCCAATCTAGTGTAGTGTCTACCACATCTTCAGATTCTTCCACCTCTGCATTTAGATTCAAAACCTTACTTAGAATTTATAATGCATTTCACCCTTTCTAGTCCAAAGACTATTTCAGGATTTTTCTTTTTTCCTGCCATTTTTTGACATTATGACCAAAGAGACACCACCTTATCCTCACACTGCATACGATGATGAAAGGTCAGTGAAGGTGAGAACCTGCTTTCTTCTTACTCTTTCCAGAATTCTTCTTGATGCTTGTCCTTTACCACCTAGCACAGAACAGCATCCCCTGGACTAGTTTTGCATGCTTTGGGTATTTGGTTTCTTTCATTACTAAAACAAACCATTTTTCTATTCACAGTGGGACAATACAATTGTCCAGGCCTATATGCATTCCCAGTTTTATCAGACAACAATGTTTCTTCATGCTCAGATGATTGGGTTGGCTACCAGAGGAAATGCTACTTTATTTCCACTGAAACAAAAAGCTGGACCTTGGCCCAAAACTCTTGTATCACACGTGGTGCTACTCTTGCTGTCATCGACTCTGAAAAGGAATTGGTAAGACTCTAAAACAACTTCATAGAATATTGCTATTTTATTCTAAATAGCTAATTTATGGTTTCTTTCTGCTTCCTTCTAAAGTGAAAACTTGGTACCTCATGTAGGAAAAGTTAGTCACATATGACTAGTCCGAGGTCAAAACGAGAGTTCAGTTTAGTCTTTTCAGTTTGATTTTATTGCTTAGCTTCAAAGGCCAGAAATCCAAATGAGTTGATCCTGTATAGAAATAATAAATGATCAGGGCCGGCCTGGTGGCGCACTGCTACAGTGTGCCGCTTGGGAAGCGCGGCGGCGCTCCCG